ATACAAGATTGGCATTTCAATTACACATTTTTCACTAAAATCAAAATTTTAAGCATTGATAAAAATTACTATTATGTGTTCTAAAAAATAATTAATATAGTATTGGGTATTTTATTATTATTGTATGTTCATTTTTGTATAAACATAAAAATTGATGGTAATCTAGTTACTTATTAGATATAAATATATAAAGAAAATAAAAAGTTTTTATCTCGATATATTTAAAGGGAGAATTTTTATTCCTCCATTTATATTAATCTCATTCAAAAGAAAAAAAAAACACTTTTATTTTAACATTTTTCGCTTCTATATGTGTTTTGAATGTTTCTTTGGTTTTTTAAATTAAAATAAAGCTTTGGAGTAATATTACGATCATGATTAATACGTATTTTTTCATTTTTAAATGTGTTTATATAAAAACGTTTTGTTTTAAATAAAGCACCTTCTTGTTTTTAAGGTGAAAAGGGTTAGACTATAGACGAAATGAGTAATTTTTTATTTTGTAAATCATTTATGTACCTTTAGTTTACTTATGAATAAACATTAAATTTAGTCAAATGTACATATCTTAATTCGATTTCTTTTTGTGTCCGTCTGTACCACAAAGTTGATCCATGCCACTATAATAGTTAAAAATAGGTGTCCAACCAATGTCTAGCATAAACAAAACACTTTATTTTAGTTCATTTAATATTTTTCACATTATGTACGTAGTTCTCTAACAATATCATTTACCGTACTCTAAAAATATTATGTATATTATTCATTCCGTACAAAAAACGTGTAACCCACGTGTCTGCTACTAGTCTTCACAAACATATCACTTGAATAACCCTCAAGATGCCCATATCAAATGAAAAAAGTAAATGATTACTTAATACACTGTATAATCAACAAATGATTCATTATGTACTCAGAGTTTTTTGTTAATGTATCCTATATTAAGAGCATTTCCAAGACATTTTCTAATTTTAAATATCATGTATTGCAATTTTGAGCGCATTTATAAATTGAGAGAATAAATATTTTTAAATACTTGAATAACCTTTTTATATTACTATTCCCAATATGTTTTTATTATATTTTCCAATATTTATTTTCACCAGCATCCCTTTAAATTATTATATTTTTCCCTTCATTCCTTTATATATATATATATATTATTTAATTGAGTCAACATACAGAGTATTGAAAATTGAAAATTTTAATGCATTTAATTATAAAGAGCGGATTTGACTTTCTAAATTTGAAGAGTAAAATGAATTTGTTTACAAAATAACATCTAATATCACAAATTATTTTAATTGATAAATTTCAATTAGTGAAACTTTTTTGTTAAAAATTATTGTTTTACAATATTGGAAGATTCAATGACATATTATCTAATTTTTCAATATTAAATTAACTTATAAAAATTATTTTTTATTGTGCTGTTATTTTAGGAAAAGAAGACATCAAAATTTTATAGATCTTAAGAAACGAAGACATCAAGATTTTATAGATCAAAATTTTCAATATTAAATTAACTTACTAAAATTATTTTTTATTGTGATGCTATAGATGAGGAAAAGAAGACATCAAAATTTTACCATTATGTAAAATATAGTAGGTAAAATGTAAATTTATAACCTACGATATGCAAATTCTAACATTGTGTATTCTGTAAATTTTATTTATTTATTTATTTATTATTGTTATTTTTTTGGCAAATATGTCCTTAAAGATTATTTGTTAAAAAAGCAATGATTCAAGACAAAGATCACTCCATTCATTCCATAATAAAACAAATTGAACACTTCAGATACAACATCATATCTATAATTAAAAAAATGATTTGCTTTACTTCGAAAAAACAATATTATCATATACACATACAAATGTCCTTTTTCATATTGGTTGCTAAAAATGAAATGAGTGCACTTACATCATCTAACCAGTTAGATAAAATTGATTGAATTGCCAACGTCTAAGATTTTTGTTACAAATGATCAATTGGGGTGTTTGACAGCCATTTTTATGTAAAAATACATTTTAGAATAATAACTTGATATAATTTGATGGGAAGTGTGGTTGAAAAATAAGGAAAAATTTTTAATTTACGTGTAATATTATTTTAATAAAGAATGTGTAGTTGAAAAGAAGAGAGAGAGAAATGCATTTTGAAAAAAATGAGTACCAAACGGGGCTGAATCTTCTAATGCTTTAGTACATAAGGATGGCACATTTGAAAAAATTCAACGAAAATTAATTTATAACAAGAAGATGCAACTAAAAGTCTTTCCAATCCACACGTTGGATACTCGTGATTTCTAAATGTGGAATAAATGGCATTTATAGCATCTGAGAGCACGCTTCATTGAAACAAAAACAAAAGGTTAAAAAGGACCAACCTGGGATATACAATTCTCCTCACTCCATACTGCACGTTAATTTGAGAACCATTCAAATTATAAAGACGAAAAAACCCTTGCCTTGCTTACCTACAGCTTCTTCTTGTCAATATATGCAACATTCAGATTTAAGACTACCGACACTGGCAAATTGTGTAAACAAATGTATGGAACTATGCTGAAGTTTTTTATTTTATTTTTCCTTTTGTTCAAGCTAGCAATCAAAAATCTAACGAATAGAGTCGTGACTTTTCAGCTAATACATTGGTGCATGAGGATTATTGCAAAAATCAAGAATATAAGACCACTAAATTTTGAACGGATTCATGCATGCAATCTGAAAGTAACATGACATCTTTAAGCTCTATCATGGCATTGCTTAAGTTCTTAAAAGCAAAATTGAGGAGAAAATGGTGTTGCTCAGATTATGGAAGGAAAAGGGTCAAACCAGCCTGCCCCAAAGTCACAGCACAGTCAGTTGCAACCTGATATAAAACACATACAACAATGACATAATCAGAATTTAAAGACAACTTAAAGTGAAAATATGCTCAAAGACAGTTTTGGGTATTCACCGCACAGAGAGAGAGAGAGAGAGAGTACCTTTATATTACAAACAACTACTATAGCCAATGATTCTTATGCATGAGTTTCGCTCAGTGTTAATCTGGCAGCAAATTTCTGAACCATTTGAATGTAATAAATAATTAAGGTCTGCGTATTTTGTACTTGTGTATTGCATATCAAACAAAGAGGTAAATTGTACATAGAAAAGTTGAAAGGATATCTTTTCTTCATAAAGAGGATGGTTGAGCATAAGCAGCTTGTTGTTGTTCACAATAGCGCGGACCAATATTTCTTTGGCCTCCTCATGTTTCTTGCTCAGCATATTGCATATCTGCATGCCAACCACATTCTTTCTATCATGTCATGTTTTCTGATGCCCCTCTTGAGGATGTGGTAATAATAATGAAGTAATTGAAATGAAATCCAGATTATTCTAGCCCCAGTTTAACAACCATTATGACAAAACTCTTTTTTCTCAAACTCATTTTCAACCACACACTCTCACAATAAAATATTCTACACAAAAACCCAAAACATTTTCCGACCTTTTAACCACGCATTCTTAAAAAGAATCATTATTCCAAAACTTATTTTCCCTAAAAACACTCATTTTAATGGTTGTCAAACATAGGCCTTGTGTTTTGACCTTTAAATGCCCTCTATTCGTGTTGTTCCACAACTGGAAAACATGTCGAGGGCAATCCATGGATAGTGTAGTAAATTCAGATGTATTGCAAGGACCTTTATGCAATTGACTAACTGGACATGAAAAAGGGAGTGAAGTGATGCTAACACTCCCTTCTTTAAGAATCAGAAAGATTAAAACAATGCTAAATCATTCTTACATCTTCAAGTTCTTTAGTGCAAGCCTCAGCCTGTTCAACATGGGTATTATTTTCTATTGAGAAAGGAGCATCTAGTTCTTTCATGTTCATTTCATGAGAGGCATCGAGCGTAGAGTCTTGATAAGTGCTTTTGGTGCTACCATCTTCCAGACTTTCATGGTTGGAGACCTATAAACAGAAAGGCAAATGCCTGTTAATCCAATGAAAACTGTTTAAACATCTGATTGTGTAGCTAACTAATAGAGGACCCATCATCGAGTAACTAAATCATTAAATTATTCAGAAAACCTTTTTGTCAACAACCCTTTCTGATATTGCTGCAAAATTTCTGCAGATTTCGAGGGAGTAACATATGTAAGGACAGGAAAAGCCCAGAAACTTATGTTTAACAAATTACATTTTCAGTGGAATACAAGGAACCTGTTTTCACTCGGTGACTGTGAGAGACGTTTTGATGGGTTCAAGAGCATCATACTTGAATTAAATTCCTGGGTAAAAAAATAAAAAATAAAAATGGTTTACTGAGATCATCTCATAATGTATGATAATGCCTCTTGACAATTAAAGACGAAATAAAAGCCATCAGTCTCAAGTCTACATGGAATAGTAAAAGCATTTTATAAAGATGAAAACATGCCCCCAATGTCTTTCTCTTGAGAGACGGTGGAGATGGTGTTTTCTTTAGTGTGCCAATGGTACTGTTGGATGATTCATGTCCTGACATAAGCTTGTTCTGTGAAATATTTCCCAAGGACTTGACATCTTTGCAACCCACAGACTTTGTGGAGTCATGGTTTGATTCAGAAGTCCTGATTAGGAAACGGGTGCTCAATGAAAATGGAATCCCAATGAAGCCATCTCAAGAAGTGTGAAGATTAAGGTATGAGATAAAATACTACCTTGAAAGTCTCAGGCCACACAGATCAAGGTTTCTCCCACCAGCGTTAACCTGATTAAATTTCTTTGCTTCAGCAGAACTGTTCTTCATGGTCAAAAGAGATGCTGTTCCTGAAGCTGAGGGGGTAATTTTGGATGGTTCCTTTCCTAATAAATTCCGTTTCTGTGAACTGCTTCCCAAGGATTTAACATCTTCGTGAGTCACAGATTTTGAAAATTCAAGGTCAGATCCAGAAGTCCTGAACTAGGACAAGGGTGAACAATTAATATGGCATCCAAAAGAACCATCTCAAGAATTCGTGAAGATTAAGGTAGAAGACGAAATGGTACCTAGAAAGTTTCAGGCCACAGGGATCAAGCATCCTCCTACTGCTGTTAGCACGAGAAGATTTCTCTGCTTCAGCAGAAGTGTTCTTCGTGGTCAAAAGAGATGTGGTGGCTGAAGCTGAAATTCTCGGAAATGGATGGTTCTGTGGAGTATTTTTGCTCAATTGCATATTTAAACTGGAATGACGGACACGAAAACTTCAGAAAATAGAGCCCATGTTGATGATAAAATTCCTTAGATCTCATTTATTAAGAGTCAGCCACCGTTAGCACTTTGCATGATTTAAAAATATTTGTATGATTATAAAATAAGATGGCAGTTTAAGAGTAAAAGATGTATATTAACAGTACCAAAATTAGTTTCCAAGATAAGAGTAGAAAATCAATCCAATGGAATTTCTGACTTCAACTGAAAAATCAAGTGAACAAATTTGACGTGAGAGGACACTTAAGTTCAGACGTCTTCTCAGATCAATGTAGGTTCTTGGACAAAGTTACAATTGAAAATTGTGTAGGAACTCATTAGCAGAATATCTGGAGTATGAATACCAGACCTGAGGGTATCTACATTCTTTGCGTTCTCTTGACTTTCCTTCTGAGCAGATTTTGCTTCTACAACATCTTGATCTTGTGTAGGGAAAGATTTGTTTAATTTTCTTCCATCTTGTACACCATCAGCACTGGTCCCCTGCCTGCATGTATATTTTGAAGTACTATTCAGAAATACTGAAATTACGAATCCTAAAGGTATATTATCTTATCATCCATGTTTCTTATATGTAAGCCTCACCCATCAATAGTTAAACCTTTACAGATTTCCTGGTTTTCTCGCTGGTGAGGTTCCCTCCTTATTACTGTTCTAGAATGTTGCAATGGAAAAGAAGCTAGTATTCCATCCCCTACAATATCTATAGCATCTGGATCCCTATGTAAAGAATAGGGCTCTTTATGTGATCTAACACTCAACCAAGTCATTTTCATGGTTAAGATGGCTCACCTGTTTTCGTCTAAAGGACTTGGTTCTGTGGGGCTCATTACTTTGCTACTTAATGAGGAAGCTGTTGTCTGAGCTGATGGTGCCTTCTGCAAATATGGTTCAGCTTTATCTGGTCGCATAAAAAACCTTGAGCGTGTGACAACTGCTCCTCTTTCTTCTTCTGATATAAAATGATCAACTGGTTTACTGCACCGTGTATAGAAATACATGTCAGACATTTCATGCAATTGTTTGAGGAGTTCGTGGTCATGATCACCAAATAAAGGACAATTCATTTCCATCTAATATTCAATATGTTATGAAAGTGTTTAATACATTCATCCAACTATGGATCTACGTCAATATGAAAAAGTCATGCATAATCTGACCTGGTTAAGGGAGACTTGAGGATCTCTGAAGCTTGTCCTTGATTTTCCGCATTGCTACCCGTAACAACGATTGTGATGGGACTATTTTGAACAATTGAATCACCTTGACCATGTTCAATATATTCTTTATTGCCTATCAAAGAGTGATTTTCAGTCCCAACCTGATTCTCTTCACCATTATTTTTCTGTGAGATTGCAACACCCTGCAGATATGAATTCTCTACCTTTGTGTTTTCACCAATAGAGTCAGAACCTGCTATAGGTTTCTCTATTACATTTTGTTCTCCACTTGAACTATTCGAATTTGTATCCACTGCTTCAACTTCTAGTAACCGTGATCCAGTAATTTGACTTGCCTCACCAGATGCAGAATGAGCTGACAGATCCTGACTGGCCCCATTAGTTCTACATGCTTCCTGATTAACTGGTTCTGGGGAAATTGTCTTCTCGAATTGACAGCTATTCTGTTGCCTGCTTGAAGAAAATTTTAAATCTGGAGACTTTCTTGCTTTCTGTTCTGCAACTTGATCAATTGCAGTTGAAAAGTTTGAAGTTCCAATATCACCCATCACCAACTCTGAAGGGGATTTCTTACTTGGTGAGTCAATACCTGCACTTCCGTCAACTTGAGTATCCATGTTAGAAGTGGGTGTAGTTCCGGGTGACAACGGCTTTTCAAATAATTCATTTTCTGGCATACTCGTATTTTCAATGAAATTGGTGTGAGAAGGATCTTTCTCATCTTGACATTCACCTCTTTTTGAATTTTTTCCCCTATCATTGTTCTTCTCAGCTTTTGTACCTTCTTTAGTTAAACTTGACCCAAAACTGAAACTTCCCAGCCTAAATCCAGGAGAAGAATACATATATAAATGTATGGGTTGGTTACTATATAGAATGATGTGGAGGAAGTGTAGCAAGAAATGCAAATGTGCATCATGTAAAATAAAGAAAGGCAACGGAACATTATAACTTTTGCTCACTTGTCAAAATGCACAAAAAAATAATGGAACATTAAAACATTTGCACACTTACTCGTCAAAATCCAATGCGAAGGAAAAATGATCAACTTTTGCTTTATTTTTTCCATTTGCTGATTCTGATTTTGATTTTTCTTTGGATTTCCCATCTTTTTTGAATGGGGAAGAGATATCAAGATCTGGTATGTCCATGTTGAAAGACGATATCTTACCAAAATCAGCATCCATGTTGAAATCCATATCCCTGAAATTTCAGGTAGCAATTTCATTACTAAACCCAAAGTTGTACTTTCTCTCAAATAGTAATTTTAGTGCATTTTATAGAATGAGAAACACCAATCATCATATAATCACAAAAGGTGGAAATAGACTTAAATGTTCAGAATGTGTTGGTACCAAGAAAACAAAAAGATTATCTCAAAATGTTGGACATATTCATACTTTAAAAGGAAAGAATCCAACGAAACCGAACACAAACAAATTCCTTTTGGCTAGAAAATTTTTAAATGTTTCATGAACATTAAATTACTTTAGTAATCAGTGTTATAAATGAAAAGAAAGTAAGGATTTTGTAAAGCTTACGCTTTGTCAAAGTTAAATGACTTTTTCTTGTCCTTAGAATCTGGCGCAAAATCAAAATCCATTGCATCGTCCTCTGCCATTGACATTGACTTCCAAGAGGTAACAAAGTCATTCCCGATGTCCAGTTCTATTTTTCACGTGAAACAAAGAAGATGATGAAATCTTATCACAATAACAAAGCTGGAGCTGTATAGGTATACAATTCAGGCATTTGATAATTTACATTTGGTTGATAACCCTTGAGCTTCGCTACAACAAAACTTCTGTTGGTCATTTTTCAACTCAAATTCATGAATGCTGTGCAAGATTGACAGTGTCTTTTATGGTCTTTCCAGCTCAACCATCTCAATTTTACAGGACCAACTAAACATGCAAGATGTCATTGAAGTGCGATAGATCCCCAATTTAAGTTTCCACTTTAAGGTTGAACTAAAACTTAAAAGACTGCCAAGAAATAACCATTGCATTGAACCAAGCTGTTTTACTCTTAACAAGTTATCAGTATGAACAGACTCAAAGAGATACCTAGCAATGAACTTTTCTCCTTCAATTTTCCTGACGATGCTCTCTTCTGAGATTCTTCCATCTTAATTTGCACTTATCGATCTTTCAGTTCTGCAGCAATGCACATTCAGTTCGGAAAAGACATCACCACACAATACATTTAAAAGATTCATACAGTAAAAGAGTAGCACAAATTCATTCAGTGAAATCAATATTGTAAACATAATCTGAAACGGTTACAATCAATCAAATGTCTGCTCAAAGTACAAAACGGTTTTATTCATAAATAGACCAAATTCATTTTTAGTTTGTAACATGACAATATGGCTTCATATAGAGTGAAACAAGCTTCAAACAAGTCCTTATTCCCTCTTTATATATCCGATCCAGTTAATTATGAGTTTACGACCATGTTTTCACACCTCAGACAGGACATTGTATAGAAGTAAGAATGTAAAAATCGTTTACATCACAACTTCACGGGCCAGGGTTGCAGATCTTATAAAACTGACACACTGCTGAGATTTTTAGCTTTAATTTATCATCAGCAAACACATTACGATGTTATAACATTGTTTGAATTGCAAGAGAAATGCCACAAAGACTAGTGCATTTTTTTCCAATAACCACAATTCATTCCTTCTCTCCTTTATAGTAAACAAACAACAATACATACAAATAACATCAGCAGAAAATAGCCCCAACCTATGAACTAATCAAAACTCCAGGTAGAAAATTAAAAAACTAACAACATGAGTTACTTAGAGAAAAAGAAAAAAATAAACAAAAAGGCAGTCGTAGAAACTACGGACAAGTATACTATATTTTCAATGTATATCTTCTGTTATAGTCCAATTTGAAGTAAACAAATAGCAATTTAAGCTTTACGGTTACAGCAGAATCATGAACGATCCTTAATTGAATGAATTTAATAGAAAGCTTCAATCGATTAAATGAATCGATTGAACAAATTGTGTCTCGACCAAACGGAAAATATCTAAAACAATTTGAAGGAAAAGATTATTAGCGCATTTAGGATAAATTGCAGGAAATTCTAATTAGAAATCCGATGATTATCAGATCTACAAGATATAAACAGCTTATCGTGGAGAAACCTTTTTGGAGTCACTCGACTTGCTGCAGAAAGAAAAATGGCGCATTTGGTGAAATGGTAGGGTTTATATAGGCGACGTCAGGGGTAATATCGTCTTTTTAGAGATCGGTCTATGTCTGGTCCAGATGCCAGTTCTTGGGCTTTCGATTTTTAAGCCCATCTGTCCAAGAAGGATCTGTTGGGCCACGAGTCTTTAACTGGGATGGCGACGGGGCGGTGTTTCCCGTAAAGCCCGACGCGGATGGAAATAAGGAAATTAGATCCTACATGCCCTGGATTTGCAAAAGTTAAACTCTCAATTTGGAAAAACAGAAATTTAGATCCTTCGAACATTAAACTCTCTCTGGGGCCAACAATGTAATATCATTTGCTACAGAAACCCGTTTCGTTTGGTTTCCTTTTCAATTTTCAATTTTGAATACATTTTCAATTTTCTTATTTTATTTTAATAGTCTATTTTAAGATTACAAAATAAGGCTTTTGTTTGACATTATGAAAAACAATTTTCAAAATTAAATAATAGAAAAACATTTAAGACTTCAAAATTCATTTTCAAAAATATCAAATCGAACAAGTTTTAGGTCTTTTACAAAATAAAAATTGAATAGTTTGAAAACAACAAACCAAACTTCAGTTTTGGGCAAATATGGGTTCTAATTTCATCTGTACACCATAACTCTGAATTTTGGGCGAAATTGTTTTCAATCTTTTTTGGTTTTATCCTATATAAATTAGATTAGTGATACTATGTGTACAAAATAACTTTGACGGATTTCTTATAGGTGCACACTTGATAGTTTGTTAATTGATAGATGATAAAAAAGAAAAAAAAAAAAAAAAGCAGCCATACATGTGTATGACTTCTGTTAGCAATTCCCCCATACAAGGGGAATTACTAAAATCGGATTCATGATTAAGGAAGGTGAATCGAGTGCAGTCATTTAAACAAGTCCTGCTCAATAGAATTATGGAAACACATGTATACTTTCAAAGTTTTCAACAAAAACAATAAGTCTCAAAATCATAATTGTATATTATCGATAGAACCGTAGTTTAAAATTTATCTAACTTTTTATTGAATAAAGTCATTTTTTTATTTTTGTATAGATAAAGTCTTTTAAAAACTTAAAATAAAAGTCAAATAAAAGACTTTTAAAAAAATAAAATATTTAATAAAGCGTTCCTAAGCTTGGATGGGTTATTGACATTTTATTTGATGGTTAGAGGTGAACTAAAAGCTAAGTAGTAGGAATTTAAAGGAAAACTACAAAAAATGAAATCCATTTTGTCATTTAGACGAAAAAGTAGATTTTAAGAATCCAAGTTGCCTTCTCCCCTTGAATAAGAGAAATTGAGAATGGAATCCGTTGAACTCTTACGCATTTATGCCTAGTCGTATATTAAGTGGTCAACTTGACAACTGAATGCGTAATTTTACGCTTATCGGAATTCCACGTCTCGTGCCTACGTGCGCCTTTTAAAATATTGAATATCTTAGCTATAAAATCAAGAGGCAAAAGGAGTCAAGTTAGAGGTGTCAAAATGTAGGTATTCACATCCATGAGTCCTCTTAAAACGGGTCCTAGCAATCCATTATTTAGAAAATGAAAATATAAAAGGTAAGAAAGAAGGTCAATTTTTTTGGCAACTATTATAATTATATTTTTAATAGAGGATCACATGCCAAACTTTGAAAGATCTCCTGATCGAAATAATGAAAACTTTGAAAGTATTCATGATTTTGTACACGTAGACATTTCTGAGGGTGTATTCAATTGAAACTTTTAATGATTTTTTGAAATTTAAAAAGTTTAGGGGTATTCAATTTAAACTTTTTGAGACTCTCTAAAAGTCATGGTGTATTCAATTAAAATTTTATAGACTTTTAAAAAGTCTCTAAAAGTTACGGTGTATTCAATTAAAACTTTTTAGAAGTCTTTATAAGTCTTACAGTATTCAAATTTTAATGACTTCTAGAGACTTTTATAAAAGTCTCTGACGTACTAATTTTTAAGCAGAAATTACTCATATAATATCTTAAAATTTGTCTCTCATTAATCACGAGATTTTGGGAGACTTTCACAAAAAAAAAAAAAAAAAACTTTTTCTTTCAATCTTTCTTTCCTTTAATCTTTTATGGACATGTATAATTAAAATTTATTTTTTATTTATTATATTCCATTTATTTTTCTTTTTCTCTCTTATTATTTATCTCTATTTCTATTAAAAAAAAAATTAAATTGGATTCTTATAACTTTTTTTTCTTTTTTCATTCATTTTTTGAGAAAAATACCTATTTTTTTATTAAATTATGAAAATTTATAATTAAATTTAAATATATTAATTTTTTATTTATTTTTAAAAGTATACTATACTAATAATATTAAATCATATATATATGTATACTTTTGATTATTAATTATTTAATTAAAGTCATAAATTTTTATTTTTTCAATTTCTTTTTTATTATATAGGAAGAAGAAGTGGAAGTAAAAGGGGAGTTATGGGAACTAACATCTCGTATGTGAGAATCTCACACTTGATTTATGTGAATTCTATTTCAAATGAAAGTTTTCAAAAATCTTTTGAATTCCACAAAAGTCTATAAAATTTTAAAATGAAAATCCATAGAAATCTACAAAAGACTTCCACTAATTTCATACAAATCTTTAAAAAATCCACGAAATTTACAAAAGTCATTACTTAAAAAAAATGTATCAAAGTTTTCAAAAGTTCCAATTGAATACGTGTCTGGATATAAGAGCCAACATACATAAATAATTCCAAATATTTCCTGCCTGTCCATTCTCTCACTCTGTATTGAACACTACGGGAGTATCAATATTCAATAGATTAGCAATGGCGGAAGACTCATCAAACTATGACCTGGAGTACAAAGACCACGGTGACGACGCATAGTACGCCGTCAATTTGGTGGTGCCGGAATTCGGCGAGACTCTCACGGTGAAGGACCTGGGCCTCGCTGATTCTTTCGATTCTACCTCCAAGCAGAGCAGTTCACGACGGTGGAAGAAGTTGACAACATGAATAGCAGATTCCAGCCAGTATCCCGGCAAATGCAGGACGATGACCGCTATGAAGTTACCACTGGTATGATCGTCTGCGCCTCCTGCCCCTTTGCAGATGATCTGCGATTTTACGACGCTGAAGTCAGACGGGTGAGTAATCATGCATTTATTTCCTTTATTTTTTCTCTGACAAGATTTGACAAAATGAATATAGTTTTCTGATTGAATGATTTTTCATTTTGGTCCTGTCGTTTGCCTTTGCCTACAATATAGAAAACATATGTTAAAATAGATGCGATCATTTCCAAGTGCTGTTCTGATCAATGCATTGAAGCAGATGTAGGCTTAATGAACTTAAACAGAGGATATTTGGTTGTGTGGTAGAGGCATGGGTAAAGTTTTGAAAGTTCTTCAAGTTTGGTGATATTTTTTTTTATGTTGGTGATTATTTGATTCTATCTATTACGCCTAGCCACCGAGGCTCAAAAGGATGCCAATGTGGATGCCATGTGGAGTCCAAGCAGGGACAAAGCCCTGTGACCCACATCCAACGTCATCAATATTGACTAAAGTCAAAGGCAACAAGTAGAAGCCCGATCAACGAAGCCCATTTGCCGATTTGGAGTGATAATGAAGAGAAGCTTCATTTCGAAGCTTACTGCCGAAGTGCAGCAGTAAAGGAGAGAAGCTCTCTCACCGAAGCTCTCACTCACCAAAGTAGAAGCGATAGCGCAGCAGCACCTCAATCCAACATCATCAATATTGACTAAAGTCAAGGGCAGCAAGCAGAAGCCCAATGAATGAAGCCTATTTGCCAAAATGGAGCAATAATGAAGAGGACCTTCATTTCGAAGCTCATTGACGAAGTGGAGTGGTAAAGGAGAGAAGCTCTCTCACTGATGCTCTCTCTCACCAAAGTAGAAGCGATAGCGAAGCGGCACCTCAATCCATAGCTCATATTCGAAATAGAATATCTCGCTTTCCTTAAGAGATCTTCTGTAGATAAAATCTTATTTGAATAATTGACGTGACCTCAATTATGAGAAGAATGTCAAATCTTGTCAGTATAGGCTATAGGGTGGCTACCTTTTTAAAATTCGTTAAATGCGCTATAGGCTATGATATGTAGTTAGGTGCCTATGTTGGGATGCTTCACTCAAGTAGATTGAAGCCATGTGCTTCTTCATCCAATGATCACCACTTCATTTCTATCACTATAGAAACTCTACTTTGTATATTTGAAGGCTAAAGCAAATTTGGTTACTAAAGATTATATTAGGTTTTCCTCTCTAGCTTTATATATTTATTCTTCTTCTTTACATTGTATTGCAAACCCCTAGTGCTCGAACACTTGAGTGGTGGCTCATGTCCAAAGAGCACATCCCACACCCTCCTGCTAAACACGTAACTAGCCAGCTATTCTTGCTGTTCTTCCATGTGGGTCGTAATAAGCCTGTGGGACACGAGTGGGGCCAGGGATTTTGTTGATGCACTTTTTAGGGTCAAGACTATCTATTGGATTCTCTTCTACAGAGGGTGCATGCATTGACAACTGTTGCTATCGGTGTTGATTCTGTTGAGACCGATTAATCAATAATGCAGGAATTGAGATTTAATAAATTCCACTTGTTGTAATTGAAGTATTGAACAATATCACAAATAATCCAAGAACAAGATTAAAGTAAGTAAAAGAAGAACTGGCAGAAGGAATGATATTTTATTATTCAATCAACGAAAGGAGAGAATTACAGCAATAATGGCTTCTATAATACTGAAAGAAGAGTCCTATATTTATAATACACGAGTGTTGGCAAAATATGGAAATTACAAGAAAAAAACGTGTGAAAAAAATCTGCCCACGGCACACATATTTTTCTTCCTTATTCCTTTGATTCTTTCCATATTAACGTGTCTCGAATTTGGATACCAATTGATCCCATTTCCTTTTGTCTATCACTTTGATACTTCCAAGTTTAAGGATCACATGCAATCTTCAACATTTCCTTATTTTGAGGCACAAATTCAACAATCTCTACCTTGACTCAAAATCCGGTGCAACAAACGAAACTCCAAAATTTCTCCACCTTGAGAAATGATCCGTCTGCATCAGAATAACCAAGCTCCTCAACCCAATAACCAAACTCTCCACGAAAACATGTTCCTCCACCCAGCGTGCACACGCAACACCCGAACCCAAACCCGGGTTCCCAAAATTTCTTTTGAAATTAACAATCACCCTGTAGCAGAAACCACACCAAATGCACAATCAGAAGGTCCATTGCCACTACAAGAACACAGTGTACCCGCTAAAATTGGTGGCAAAGCGGAATCACCAACATTCCCTTGAGCAAAGTTCTTAACTAACTTAAAGCCAAACCCGAGAGGTACTGTACCAAATTGAATGTCCACCACGGTACCGAACTTGTCCAAATGTCTCTGAACTAGTTCTGCGCTCCCCTACAAGATGTACAACTGGAATTTCCTCCGTCCTTCCAGTACAACCCGGACACCCCTTCGAACTTTCAAGACTCCACCTCCACCTGAAAATTTGTACCCTTTTTCATCCAAGGTACTAAGTGATATGAGATTCTTTGTCAAGTCTGGAACATGACGAACCTGATCAAGTGTCCTCACTGTTCCATCCTGTAGCCTCAATCTGACTCGACCGATTCCTGCAACCCGACAAGATTGGTTGTTTTCCATGACAACTTCACCTTGCTTCACCGTCTCATATGTTTGAAACATAGCCCTATTGGGACACATATGATACGAACAAGTAGAATCCAGAATCCACTCCTCAGGTTTGAATTCCCCGTCAGATATAGTCAACATCACATCTCCATCATCACAAAAATTTTCAGCAATATTAGTCTCGTTCGAATTACCTGATTGCCCCGCATGATTTGCATGTAAATCAACTTTACCCTACAACTTGTCGCAATCTTTTTTGATGTGTCATTTCCTCTTGCAATAATAACAATATACATTGCTGTACTTCACCTTGGATCTACCCCTCCGTCGATCACCATGAGTAACAAGAGCATCCCCACTCCTAGATGCAGGATCTCCAACCAACAACTCCATCTTCTCTTTTGAGAACAGGACGTCGTATACCTCCTCAATGGATAACGTGTCACGACTATACAGAATAGTATCATGAAATGACGAAAAAGAATTGGGTAGCGACCACAACATGACCAATGCTAGATCATCTTCATCATATTTTACCTCCAACGTCTCCAAATCTGCAACGATCTCCTTGAACACAGCAAGGTGGTCCTGCAGTGACCCTCCTTTCGTCATGTGATGAGAATACAACCTCTGCTTTAGAGTCAGTTTGCTCGTCAAACTCTTTGTCATGCACAACTGCTCCAGGTTGAGCCACAAAGTAGCCGCTGTCTTCTCCTTCAAAACATCTTGCAGCAAATTGTTGGATAAATGAAGTTGGATTTGCGGTAAAGCCTTCCGATCCTTCAGTTGTTTCTCCTCTATACATAAGCTTGCTGACATCCTATCAAAACCCAGCAAAGCATCATCAAGATCCATCTATGTCAACACAACTCTCACCTTTACTTGCCACAATGAAAATTTTGTATTGTGATCCAATAGCGGAATTTCATACTTCAATGAATTCATCTCTGAAAAATCTCAATCTAATCACGAAGAACTTGCAACCTGCAACACCCAAAACTGAAAACTACCGAACGTGCAAGGGGAAAAATAGTCCAGAACCATAATTTTGCTCAAAACTAAAATTGGACGCCACCATAACGTCCGTCTCATCGTCCGGAGAAAACTGCCTGAAGACACTGTCGCCGGAAAATGCCTCACGCCCCGCCACTCTCTCCCCGGAGTTACCACCGTGGTGGTATTCATTTCTCCAAATTCTTTTTGGTTTGACCAGAAAAAGCAAAAACAGATCCGACAGAAAGTCGAAAAATTGGACAGATTCGTTTTCTGATTTTTTGGTAATTTTCAGAAGATTTTCCGATCAGTTTCAGGCCAAAAATTCACCAATAACCCCGCTCTAATACCACTTGTTGAGACTGATTGACCAATAATGCAGGAATTGAGATTTAATGAATTCCACTTGTTGTAATTGAAGTATTGAACAATATCACAAATAATCCAAGAACAAGATTAAAGTAAGTAAAAGAAGAACTGGCAAAAGGAACGATGTTTTATTATTCAATCAATGAAAGGAGAGAATTACAGCAATAATGGCTTCTATAATACTGAAAGAGGAGTCTTATATTTATCGTACACGAGTCTTGGCAAAATATGGAAATTACAAGAAAAAACGTGTAAAAAAAATCTGCCCACGGCACACATATTTTTCTTCCTTATTCCTTTGATTCTTTCCATATTAACGTGTCTTGGATTTGGAAACCAATTGATCCCATTTCCTTTTGTCTACCACTTTGATATTTCCAAGTTTAAGGATCACACGCAATCTTCAATATTTCCTTATTTTGAGGCACAAATTCAACAGATTCTTTGAGTTTATCATGAAGCTCTTCAAAAGTGATTACACTGTCTCAAGCAAGAATTGCAGCTGCAAGCTCTCTGAACTTTGGTCATATACCATTAAGGGCATGGAGAATCATATAGTCGTTACTCACTGGTTTACCAATGAGAGATAAATCATCTTCAAGTCTTTGGATAGTTCCAAGCTAGTCTTGCAACAGGTTGAGATCCATGTTTTAAGTTTAAGATCTCGTGTTGAAAGACCAGAAAACGCGAAGAGTATTTGTTTGCATAGAGATCACGAAGATGACTGCATGCAGCCTTAGAACTCTTCGAAGATGTGACTTGATTTATCACTCGTTCCGAACAAGATGCGAATGATCGCAAAAACCACAGTTTGTCTTGACGCAACCACAATATGGAATCAGGATTTGATGTTCCTTTCCATCTACGGTGATAGTTTCAGATGGTCAAAGCTTTGATCATCGACATAGCCAAAGGAATTGTAGCAAAATTGCATATCATACTGTGCTTTCTGATTGTAGTTTAACTGTAACATTCCGAAATTTTTTTTAAGAAAATAAATAAATTATTATATTATTTTGAAAGTGAGGGATTAAGGTGAAATAAATATTAATATATTATATATTTGGGGTCAAATAATTGGATTTTGATAAAGTAATGATATGTATATCAATATTAGACTCATTTCGAAGGTCGTAATTAATTAGTAGTCTATGACTCGAGAAAAGTTATTTTGGATAAGAACGTATTAAGTTATACCCAATTGAAAGAAAACAAGATAAATATAATTTTATATAGTTTTAACCCATTTTGAATTTGATTGATTGGCTACCACATTTTTATTGGATAGGAATGGTAGTTCTTTTAGATGAAATAAAATAATGATAAAGTACAATTTTTTTATGATACGTGCCACATTGGATTTGACTTTATCAAATCAAAGTTTTGGTTTATCTACTACTCTAGCCTACACCTATAAATACTAGGCAAGGATTTCATATTTTACCACACCAAAAATTATTCACACGTGAAAGAGAGAGAAGAAAGAGAGAGAGAGAGAGAGAGAGAGAAAGAGGAAAGAGTGTGTGAAAACAGAAATTTGTCATACATCAACTATCACCGTCGATCAATAAATCATTCACAGAGTAGAGGAAGGAATTTTGGAACGTACATTCAAATATTTTTCGTGTACATTTCGATAACAAGGTAAGATACATTTATGTGCAAAGTGTTTACGTTTCCTTATGCTCTTATATGCGATTAAATATACATGGAATGCTAGTGGACTTTCGGGTTCTAAAGAAAGAGATATTAAATTTCTACATGAAAATTAAGAGGACCTAAGATGGGTGTGTCGCTTGGTCACCGATATACTCCATAAGAGAAGAGCGGTATGAAGTGTATTATTTATTTGTTATATACCTGTGTATGGAAATTTGCACGTATCTTACTGGGTATTTTTAATACTCACTCTTACATTAATTTTTCAGATTAGTTCGGCTCGATTGGAACAGTGGAGAATTGGTGATGCGGACTGCCAAGTGGATAAAGAATAGAGAAAAAGAAATAAGTTTGCCATTTTAAATTTAGCAATTTGTTTATTTTAATTTAGAACGCATTATTTGAATTACTTAGGAGTTTATGTTTATGGTTAGATACGCTTTCAATAATTTTAATCTAAACGTTACAATTATTTGTTTATTGAAGAATTTTATATAGTTCCGCATTTTTTTTTAATTAAAGAAAAACGAGTTTTCGTAACGTTCCCGTGTTTATGCTTAATGAAAAAATTGGGGCGTTACATTAACTGGATGTTGGGATGCAGCCCTGATGCAAATCAGATTGTTGCGGAAAATGGCTTTGATACCGTAACAGATTTGGGAAAAATATTGAATAGCTATATGTCTTCATTAACATATTATGTACTCAGTTTTACAAATATTGTTGCAATATAAAAGGAAAAGAAATTACAAAATGGAAATCAATTACTGTTATTATTTGAATACAATATCCATGAATGTATAGAAATAATTTATTTGGGGCACTATCAAGGGGTGGAATTGTCTTCCCCAGTTTCAACTAAGCCAATATTAGGTTACATTAAAAGTGTAACATTTAGAACCTTTTTCCATTTGTCCTCTGTATCTGGTAAGGGCTTAATGCTCCTTCTCGACTCTATACTTTCTGTTTCTGTATTAATATACAGGCAAGCGTCTGGGCCGAAACCCAACCTATGTGCTGGTTTTTTAATTTTCAAAAAACTAAGCTGGTAGGTTCAATCAGATGACTTGAAATTTCAAGTGAGAATTTCATTAATACAGTGATCTTTAGATTGTTATTGTTTCTTATGAATTTATTCTTTTGGACTTCTATAGGTGTATTCAATGTCTCTCATCCTGTGTTGGATAGGTACATCTTGAGAAACACATATTTGTGAGAGGTAAAGAAAAGTGTCATTGCATTTTTATCTTGAAATGGTTACATGGTCCAAATAAGGGATTTCTAACGACTGCTGATAATGTGAGCATACGTCTTCATCAAAAGGCTGCTGCTCCAGTGCATCCCACAATTCTTCGTTTCTCCATAGCAGCGAAGGAAAGAATTTCATCTAAGCTTGCCAAATCTACTGCCATATCCAAGGGTGATGTTGAAGAAAATAGCCGGTCATTTGTCAAACGGAAGCCCGGGTTTCAGGCATGTTATTCTGATGCCTCAATCTTTTAACTCTTGGGGTACTGCATATACATATTTAACATTCTAAAATATGCTTGCTAGAAAGTTATTTTGAAATTTGATGCCACTCATTGATTAAAGCTAATGCCATATCTGTCTCCTCCGGTTACCTTTTCACTCTCACTCTTAACATTGATTTAGTGTATGAGTGGATTCATGGTTTCTCTTGGCTATATGGTTCACTCGGGGGAGAGATCAAGCTTCAAGCAATAGTGAATAGTCTTATCAATACACCAAAGTGTATAACTTCCCAAGAATTTCAACTGGGCTCATATTCATCACCATAGGAATTGGGTTCTTTTGCATATTTGTGCTAACATCGTATCTTACATTCGGAATGTCTTTGTGAAAATGAACAAATACTTACTTCAAAAAGGTGACCACTAACTAACTAACGAACATGTACAACAAGTTATTCAAAATAGAAGCAAATTTGCTATATGATGATTATATTTGTAATGACCAGCCTTTGTGCTCAAAACATTAACTTATTGTCCGTTCTGAGAGAGCCTAGTTCATCTTACCTCTCACAGATTTCTATTCAAAGACATGCCTTCAATATTCATGAGGGAAAGTTCTAAATATTTTTTCCTTATCCATTATTGGAAGGAGGGAGACTCATGATAAATAATGAGATACATGACCAACCTAAAGTCCTACATCAGCTTAGAAGCTGCATGACTTGTATTCTTGCTTGTGGTGGTGGGACCAAAGGCTACAGGCTCCTAAATCTTCTAGTATCGATAAATTAGATGCCCCTATCTTGTGGTTCTGTTTTGAATGAAATCAACCAGCAGTCAGAGGTTTTGAGGTAAAACGTGGCTTTCTCTAGCTCTTAAATGCTGATGTACACATACAAATGTCGTAATTACTGTTGCGTTTACAATTTTGTGGAATTTTAGCTTCTTTGGTTCAAAGCATTCATATTTCTGTTTATTTTGTGAAGGCTGTGGGTCGACAAAGAAAAAGCTTCAAGGAATCGAATGTTTAAAACAATGCTTGGAAATTTGATTCACCACTCACAGGTTTGATACATTTAACACCTATCCATGTTAAATTGGAACTGCAGCCTCCCCAATGTACATATTCAATAAAATTTGGGACCTGAAACCTTATAAACATGAATTCGGAAAGTCTGAAATTTCTTCCTGCATGACATTCAATATTGAACATTTACATACACGTGGCAGCAATCCCTTTTTATGGTTTTCTAATCCGTCAAATTGAGAAACTTATTTTAACTGGAGTCATGAGTCATCGTCCTTGAATAACCAGTTCACATTGTACTGATTCTCCTTACAGCGGGTTATATTCAGCATGTGTACAAATGTTATATCACAACGAGAAAATATTGGCTTTAAAGTATTGTGTAAACCATAAATATGTAAGCTGATAGTGAAATTGAATGGTTCTCAGCATTATGATACTGAATAAACTTTTCTTTGCATATATGAATTTGACTTTTATTATAGAACTGTTACTTTTATAGGATTCCTTTGCAAATGAGGACATCAAAGACGAACTGAAAGTGGTTCATTCAGGAACTGAAAAGTATAGGAAATCTTAGAAGTTTGGATATCGGGGAAACGAGGATTGTAGATTATTCGAGACATGTTCTTATCTTTGGATTATAATTTTGGCCTCAAAATTCTCTTTTTGGGAACTCTTCTTTCATGCATTTCTCCGTTGGGTATTGGCTCTATGGCATTAGTTTCCTTTTAGTCTTATCTTTTTGCTTCTAATGTTCTTCTATTTGCAATATTGGTATCAAACAGAGAAGAAAAGTAGAAGCTATAGCTCTTTATATTCCCTCTTATAGCT